GCGCACACTTTTCCTCTTCTCTCCCGCCAACTACTAACTCTCTTGTCAATCTACTAACACCGCTTGACTCGGCCTGTCTCAAAAACCCAGGTTAGCACCTTCTCCCGCCAAAATTCGTCAAGGAACAAGCATGCTGTGGCCTTTCTTCTTTGCCATAGCTTCTATCTCCACGTTGTTTTCTCCCTCCTTCGAACGCACCTGGTGCAGAACTACGTCCAGGTTCATTCTTCCCTTTTCTTTTTGTTGTTGCTGCCCTCTTCCTCATGATGTGCAAATCTACTCACTAATATCAGAAACTAACCCCATAATCCGACTTGCAGTTACTAAAACCCCCCTTTTAGCATCCTCCCTTGCCCAAATCCACCCACTAACGAGTGAAAAAAACTCTTCCTCTTCTTTTCGTTTTTGCTTCCTCCATAGCTCCGCGCTGCCTCTGATGCTTGCCCCGATCAATCTGCTAGCTTAACACCAAAACTGACACTCCCATCACATTCGCCTTGCCCCAAAACCCCGAGATTGATGTCTGATTCGCCTGATTTCGTTCAGGAGTGAGCGAACTAGATCATTTTCAATTTTCTTCTCCCCCTTTGTTCTTCATCCCCGTCTTTATCTTCATCCTCTTCACTTTCTCCCCATTCTCCCTCCTCTCTGACCCTGCTCCTAACGCAGCCCACCGTTTCTGATTGCTACCAATGGGAGAAAACGCAATCCCTCCATAAAAAAATTGCAGGCTGTACTCCCACCTTTTTATACTCTCCTACCCACACTACTCAAGCCTCCTGGCACTCTATGCCTCTCCTTATTCTAACGAATCCAGACTACCCCTTAGTCCTCAATCGTGCTGAAGGTTATGTAACAAAAACTGAATGTCTGGACTGAGGGTATATTCGCAAGAGTGTTATATAAACGAAATCTGAATGAATGTGGCGGTCATCACGTCTAGAGCTTAGTACAAAAAAAAAAACAAAAAAAACAGGGTCATAGTGCTTTGCTCCCCTGTTTTCAGCCGAGCTCCAACTCAGGCCTGTACTTCAGCAGCTCGACATGTACCAACTGAACTAAGCCTATTGATACCCTTGCCAACCCCAGAACCAGCACCTGGGCTGTGTCCCAACCTGGGACAAAAGGGTATATATGTAAAGAACAAATAGAAAAATAAATAAAATAGACAATAAAATAAAACAGCCAAACGGGGAGCGGTTTTATGTGACCAGCGGTACACAGCCTCTCCGCTGGTGCCTGTTGGTCCTCACTCTGGCAGTTACAGTTCACTGTCTCACGGTTCCCTGTAGGTTGGCTCACATTCATACCTCTCATTACTCGCCGCAGCCTGAGCTTAGCGGGCGTTGCATCCTCTGGCCACAACTGCCCAGGTCTGTTTCACCACGTTGCGAATCCTAGAGGTAAAAGCAGATGTTCACATGGGAACTTCCAAAGGCCGACGTAGGGAGTGGCCCTATGTGACCGGCCGCTGCAGCCTGGGGCCCCCCTCCGCCCCGGCATAGTTCACTGTCTTTCTGGTCCCCACACCACACTCGTACTGCGACCCCCAACCTGCAAAATATGTGGATTTTGAGGTCGGCTAAATTAAGGTCTTTCACATGGTTTTGATCATACGCTGCACCTTTTCCAGTAGGACGCTGCGCTGGCCGTCGGCAGCAAAACAAAACAACCTGGTCCTTTGCTGCCCACACAGCACCTCCGTCACAAGGTTCTAAAATATATATATATGTGAGGGGATTCTGCAGACTGTTGAGGGTTCAGCCTCCTGATGAGTCGGTGAAACTCCGACGAAACAGTTTGTCACAACCCCTCGTTTGTTGTCGTCTTCTCTCTCTCTGCCTACGGTTTACCGGGCAGTTCTATTTGTGACGATATATATATATATATATATATATATATATATATATTTTAATTTTATTGATGTCCCGAAGGTCCATTAAAAAAAACACAATGAGGCTGCATAAAACCAGCTCCACGGTGGGATCGGTATTTCAGCAGTTCAATGGAGTACCCACCGAGCTGGGCTCTTGAGCTCCAACCGGCCCCATAGACCAGTGCCGGCCCCCGTCCCGAATGGGAAACAAAAAAAAATATTAGTAAAATTCTAGAAATAGAAGTTAAAAACACGGATAGGGGAGGAGAACCGTTAGTACTTAGTCTTCAGTCCTACCTCCCGGGCCCGCGGTCGGGTCCCCTCATCAAAACTAAGGGGGATAGTCCCATGGGACTCTCAACCCCTCAGTTCACTCCCAAGTACGCTCCTCCGCTGCCCCAATGCTGGCTGCTGGCCTCGATCCCGGGATCCGCCTGGTGAAAACTCAGTGATGTAACCTATAGGGCTAAGCCCAATCCTGAACTGGGTGCGGGCTACCCTGTATATGAATTGCATGGTCAACCGGCCTGGGCCTGCAAGTGGTGCCCCATGCCATTTCTTGGCCTATCCTTCAACCCCGTGATCCTGCACACGTGCCGTGCTGGCCTATCCCCTCCACCCTGGCGTTGTGGGGTCGTGCTCTGCTATCTCGAAGGTTGGTGTCGCCCAGCTCACAACGTACGTTGCCTCTACGTGTCGTGATTGCGGCATGTGGCCTTCATAGCCTGCCGCAACCGACTTTCTATCGCCGCCTTTCCGGAAAAACCACGACACTTATCTCCACTACACTCCGTTCGCATTGCCTTCCCTCTCACTCCTCCGATGGCTCCGACCTCTGGCTAGTATTCAGCTGAGCTCTAGTGTTCACACCCTCCTTACTGTGGAGTCTCAAAGGCGCCGTTTTTCAGCGAGTCAACGAAACCTCACCACCGTAAACCTACTGACCAGCTCCATGCCGACCGTGACTTCGTTGGTGACCGCAAGACTGTGGTCCACGCGGCTTGGTCAAAAAATTTCCACGGCTGCGGACGGCTAGCTACTTACGCACGCCCACAAAGTGCATGCTCACACACTCTCTAATCAAGCTATGCCTGCGTCTGCCGCGCCCGACTTCCAAGAGTCAGTTGCGGCTGGCCGACCTATATGCCATCTTCTCAAGTATCATCTGGATCACACCTTCTGCGAGGTGCACGAAGCACGCACAATTACCCTTGTAAGGGTAATGGTGCCGACAGTTTTCCGGACCCTATTAAGCAACGTCCCCGTCGCGCCGGTCAGATCAAAGGTTATAAAAAGTTCAAATCACATCTTGCTGACAAGGAAGTTGATGAATCCGGTTAGCCGGCTTGACTCTGTTTGAGGTATTCTATCAGTCCACCCCCGTCACAGTGTTCCAATGCCAGGGTTTCAACCTGGGTCTTTCACGTCCTGGCCTCGGACTCTGGGGATACTGTGTTTCGTACTACAGCGTAATGCCCGCTCCCAGGTAGTAGCTTGATAGGCCTCTCCCTTTGCCTTAGACATCTGCCGGCTCACCGTTGGGTGTCCTATTTAGCCATCGTCCTGCAAGCAGGGTCATAACTTAGGACGCGGGCCCTAACCGAGACCTCTCTCAAATACGGGGCACCTCCAGTCCCCAAATTGGTAAGTACTACTAGTTCAAATATCCACTCATAAGGAACGCCCAACCTGGAGTCTAACACAGGCGGCTTTTAGGTCTCCATCCTGGCCCACCGCAAAACGGTTGATCAAACCGTGTCCACGGCCTACCGCGTTGTTGTATTAGCGGTAGTGCCCTCGTTGGTTGCGCAACGATGAGCATATCTCTCTTACTTTGGCACCCCGAAGGGTCCCGACTCTTGACCTCATCGACCCCAATGACCTTCCCTCTAGTTAAACCTCTCCAGGCGGCCGACCTATCAGGACTTAACCTTTGGTGAACCATGGTCCCGCTGCCAGGTTGCGCCGGTCAGCGGCCCTCGCTGGGAGTTAGGTTTTACAGTTCCAGCGATGCTAAGTATAGCCCCTTAGCCTGGCCTCACATAATATGTCCCTTAGACTGACTGCTTGTGGTCTGGCCTTCTCTTTTCACACAAAATGCACAAAGGATCACATATCAACCGCCCACGGAACGACGTTGAGGGATAGTGTTTTTCTCACAAATCCACTAATAATTCCACAAGGTCGTGCCTTCCTTGCTTTGATCAGGGCAGGCAAGGTCACACGTCTTATAGGGACACCTTTCCAAAAATTTCGTCATAATTGCCAGAATTTCATTCATAATTCTCACAAAATTTCTGGTCTTTCCTTGTCAGACTTTTGCTTGCACACAAGATTTTTCATCATCATCATCATAGCATCTCATCAGAGAGCTCTATCATAATTCCAATTATGTACAGGAAGAACTCTACCGGTCATTGAGTTCCTTTCACATTTTCAATCACACATAATGACACAACTCTCAGTTGTGGCCTTCCATTCAACAACACTGTTTCATTTCGACTCTCGGTTTCCTCACATGTGATATGTATTCTCCTTCAACTGTACTTAGTACCTCACCTGTAACAATGACAGGTAGTCCTAAGTTAAGAGAAAGGATAGTGCAGATCAAGCCATCATAACAGCATCTCACAAAAGTTACACATACATGGGCAAGTCCACAATTGATGTGAGCGTAGTATACCACACAAATCTCTATTAAGTCTGAGTCTTATATATACACAAGGAACATGAGGTTTGGAAAATAGGCAAGACCCTTGTCACACTCAAAGAAGAATCAAAGTATAATACAAAGAAGTCAAAAATGTTCTGAACAGGTCAAAGTCCGAATGTCCAAGTATGGACACACTCTGCACACCACTCACACTGCTCACACAAGTCTCACATGTCCTACTCTGAAAGAGAAAGAAAGAAAATGTAACTCACACAAACACGTAATGTATATAGTCTCAAAGAAAGAACAAAAACGATAGTCGAACTCACACTCAAGGTTATCTAATGTACAATTTGTCTTGAAGGTCTATAGTATTGACGGTAACATCTCAATAATGGCCCTCACTACTGATATACATGGGTGTGATCCAACCCTCCATGTGTCCTCCTATATACAATCACCTACCAGTAGAGAGTCAAAGATATTTTACTCATGCGAAGGTTTAGACCTTTCCGGACCCTAATGTCAAATCCTAGTCAATCATCACCTCACCTATCTGTCTGTACAACTGAATCCTACCACCATCACGAGACCTCTCAACCAAATTACCATTCCTATCCCTCCAAATCCCAGTGGATACTCTGGTAACAAACCCTCTCGCCTCATCCTCATAAAACTTGGGGCAATCATCAGAGAAGTGTTTGCCCTTCTTGCAGTAGAAACACTTCTCAGGCTTCTTCTGTGCCGTCTTCTCTTCTTCCTGTGAGAGTACTGAGGATGAAACTGTCGTAACTTCGCTCGTAACCTCCTGCTGGGGAGTCTCAGATGGAGTGGGGCAGGTTGCTCTCTCCTCTGTCTGTCTCACTGGCCCACTCGCTCGAACTGTTGAACCAGACCCTGTGGCCAATGAGCCAAACGCCTCCTCCAAGCCTACTGCCAATGGCATATCCTGAGGCGTGGTAGACTCCTGACAAGTCTCCTGGCCTACTCTCTGCTTAGCCTCAACCTCGCTCCCCTGGACCATCTGCCCCTCAGCAGCCATCTGATTGACAGGCAGTGCCCCCTCATCTCTCTCCATCTCTGCCTGTTGTGTCACATCCTGTCCCTTGCGAGCCTGCTGGAGTGCCAAGGTGGAAGGCATCTGCCATTCAGACTCCTCACTCTTGGCCTTCTCTTCCACGTGCACCTCCTGAGGCCGTAACATGTCTTTGTCTAACAGTGACACATCTTCTCCTTCCTGTAGATCAGTCTTTTCTTCCTCCTTCTCACTTTTGAAAGCTTCCTCTGCAGGTGGCTTCTTCATTTCAAATCCTTGGACCTCAGTCCAATCCACCAAAGCTGTGGGAGCCCTCTGCTCGAGCTTCGCTTCCAGCTCCTTAATTCTCTTCTCCCACTTTACCTCCTTTGCCTGGAAGGAAGCCTATTGAGCTTGCAGGTAGACCCTCAGAGCCTTGTTGGCCTTGTCGAGGGTCTGGTTCACCTGCCTTATTGCCTCATTGCCAGCCCAAGCCTTTTCCAGTTCCACCTTCATTGCGTGCAACTCGCGATCCTGTCTCTCCTGGTTCTCTTTAAGATCCCTAGTCTCCTGCTCCCATTCCACCCTCTGACCATAGGCCTTCTGAGCCACCTTGGTCAACCTCTCTCCAATCTTCTGATTTGATGCTCGTGCGGCTGCAAATCCTTCCTTCATTACTCCCTTCAACGTGAGCAAGTCTGCGAAGACCAACTTCACCCCCATCTCTTGCTGAGGTCCCTCTGGTCCTCTCGCAGCTCCCATCAACCTATCAAAGTTTTTCCACGCTTCAGAGAGTAGAGGAGGGTCTTCTTCATACTGGCTGCTTACACTCTTTCCCTTTTTGTCCTTAAAGTCCACCGGCCGCTGTCCTTGCTCCACTCTCCTGTGGAGTTCCTCTAGGTTCTTCCTCCTGACTTCTGCTCTGATCTCTCGTTCTCTTGCGACCCTTTCTTGTCTGTCCAACTCCTTTTCTCTCTCAGCCTGGTCCTCATCCATCCTCTGTTCTGTCAGCTCACGGGGTGCCTCCTGTCTTACTTCTACCATAGACTGATCCTCTTGCCTCTGAATAGACTGAGGAGTAGCCTCAGGCACCTCTGACTCTCTCCTCCTCTGACTCCTCTCAGCTGGCAGCTCCCCACTTCTCTCCATCCTGCGGGTGGCATGCTCCCTTCTCCTCTTACCCTCCTGAGATCTGGACGAGGCACCTCTCTCGAAGGTCCTTCTACCCTCAGCCTCTGGTTCCTTCCTTTTCCTTTCCAGACTCCTCCTTTCCTCTGCCTGACGCGCTGGAGTGTAGTAGCCCCTCAACAATTGCCTGCAATCCCCCCAGTGCACAACCCTCTCCACAACGCTCTTGACAAACTGTCTGATGGACCTCCTTACGAACTGGATGAATCCTGTCATCCTTCCCTCTGGTGCGATGTTTCGCTCATCTGCAAAACGCTCGTATGCCCACAGGAACTCATCCACGTTCGTCCCATCAAATCGGATCGGTACTCCATCTCTCCCCACGGGTGATGGGTGTAGTCCCTCCATTCTCCTCTCAAACTCCGTCCAGGTCGCTGACTCCTGCACGTACTTGGCAATGGGCTCAGCCCATTCGCCCTCTCCACGTACCTCTCGCAACATCCTCGCTCCATCCCATCCAAACTCGCTCGCGTGCCGTTGGAACTCGATCAGAAATAGTTCGCCCTCTCCACATACCTCTC